ATAAGCCGAGGCGGCTTTTTTCAGCCCAAAAAGTGGGCTGAAAAACTAGGCTTATACTCGACTCAATAACTTTTCCAGTTTTTTGTGGTAAAATTAGGTGCCTCGGCTTATATTCGGGTCGGCCTATACTCGAGTATATACGGTACCTGCAATGCCAATGCTGAAAACTACAGAAACGTAAGCTTGGAGAGGTCTTCAGAAATATCACTAGAGGTAATGGCTTGGTTGTGGTGGCACTAAGGCGTCTTTGTGTGCTTAAATTCAGTTGTATTATCTAGCTACATGCTGCACCTTGGTTGATCATAAAAAAGCTAAGCCAAATTAGACTTGTTTACTACTGGGAGTGAGGCATTCCCACCAGTAAGTTCCTAGTCTGTAGGATAGACTATCAGGTTGAAACCCTGCCTTCCCTCCCAAAGATGACAGTGTCAAACCGAACCACTTCAATTTTGTTACCCCCCAAAAAAGCATGTTCTCCTTGAAGTCACCAGGTGTTTGGTTTGTCCCCGAGACTTGAATTTTACCATAGAAATTTCATTGATTCCCATTAGTGTCATGTCTGTGAATTGTTTGGTTTAGTCCTTTTTAGGAGGGAGTTAATATTCAAGAAAAACTGCAGATGAAAAAAATCCATGTACTTTGTCTAGGAAACTATGAATAAAAGCCTAAGTCCATTGCAAGGTAATAGGAAATAGCGATGCTTGATCAATTGTTTTATATTTTGATTTTATCATATTTTGAGCTAAAGCTGCAATTTATTCCAATTTAACCCCGGGATCCATTTTAAGTAATTATAAGCACAGATGGATTGTAGAATGAGGATGGCAATGCCAAGAACTTGGAACCATACCAGGTTCAAGACCTCAGAAAGCCAAGCAGGATTGAATCTAGTTTGCAGTTGGATGGAACAGGAATCCCAGTTCCATAGGCTAGACTGGAAAATTAATTAAAAATAATAATAATAAAATTCTGAGAGCATCAGTAGTTGAGATCTTCTACATCACAGACAAGAAAAATATAGGGATGTGTCTATGAAATAACCAGGAGCCAAACTGACTGAAAGAATATTTGATCTTTATCTAATCAAACTAAGCCCTATTTACAGTCTCTTCCCTTGCCAGTGTTAGTGGAGGTGTGGTTTTATCCCCTCTTTGATAGTTCCTTAATTAGGGTATTTTTTCCTGCTTGACTCCTTAAGCATCTCTTGCGTATACACAAGTAGCAACCCACTCAAATGCTGACATTACTTAATTGGGCAATAGCACTTAGACTTATATACTACTTCATAGTGCTTTACAGCCCTCTCTAAACAGTTTAGAGAGTCAGTATATTGCCCTCAAACATCTGGGTCCTCATTTTACCAACCTTAACCTAGGATGGAAGGCTGAATCAACCTTGAGGTGGTCAGGATTGAACTTCTCGCTCTGTGGAAAGAGTTAGCCTGCAATACTGCATTCTAACCACTGCGCCACCAGGGCTCCTAATGAAATGTGTGCAAGAAAACAACCAAGGATTCTACAGTTCAACCCTGAGCTACACTATATTCTCTTCTTATGGGGCCTATCAGTTGTATTGGCAGCAGAAACATAGTTGTGGATTGATCAGGGCCTTTGCAAATCCTCCTAATATCTCAATTTGTTCCTTGGAGAAATTTCCCCTTGGTTCTTCTGAAGTATAGTAATATAATGCATTACACAAAAGATCTATAAATGAAAAACATGGACCAAAAAAAACCTTTTTATTTGCTGAATAAGGAAACTTCTGTAAATGTACAAAGGACTATTACTATGCTGTAGCATACAATTTCAAAATGTGTCCACAAGGATAATCGTAATAAATACATGTAACAAAATAAAAATGTTAGGCAAACCTACAAAACTGTTCCCAAAGTGTTATACCTGGCAGTGTTTATTGGCCTCTGTTAAGAGTTATTGTGTTTTGTTGTTTTGCTGGTAAATCCTGCAAAAATTTCCCCACCCCCTTGAAGTATTAAAACAGGTGCTGTGTGAAGAAATATTGTCTCAAATTAATTATCCAAATACTGAGAAAGACAGAAGAAGAAAAAAGATTCAGGAGTTCAAAATTCTGCTCATTGTTCAAAACAACAACAACAACCAGAAAAATAAAAAGTAAATGAGAGAACTATGTAAGTGCCTGGTGAATGTGGTAGCCCTGAGACACTGAACAATTACTTGCCACTTATTACAGGCCACTGAGGATCTTTGTAGGGGTGAGGCTGTTTATAATTAGTAAGTAATTCCATACACCAAAGACACAAAATGGTTCTTTGCTTTAGGGAAAATATACATTGTTTAGATTTTGGGGTATTTATGATTAACCCACAGAGAGCTGGAGTGATGCAGTTATTCATTTTACAAATTCTGCTTAAAAACTTTAATCAGTGCGATGTGGTTTTCAAAAATGTGGTATCCACTCTCAGTTTTTGAAATACAAGTGCTCGTGTTTACACTAGATGTGTACATTTGTTTAATCAACTTAATTCTGCAAGTTATACCATTCATCAATTGAATCCTGGGAATCTTATATTGATGTGATATTCTGCCATAAAATGACATCCTTAGCAAGCTCACACTAGTTTGAAATTTGATCACACTATTTTGAAACTGATTCCAGAAACCAATTAGCAGTGTAAACATGTCCTTAAAATAGAAGACAAAAAAGTATCACATATTCCTTCTTGCTATCCCAAAATGATATTCTAATATGGTGTTTCTCAACAAGGCATTTTGAAGACTTGTGTGGACTTCCACACTCCCAGAATTCCCCAACCAGCTTTGCAAATTATGGTTGAAGTCCGTACATCTTCAAGTGCCAAGGCTGAGTAACGCTGCTCTAATACTACCAGTTATCATCATTCACGTTGCTATTATCAACCTGGATATCTATTACAACTATTACTCATTTTTACTAAACTTTAGCAGCCAAACAATTTTTAGGCACCATTGCAATTTGTAGAATCATCCCTATACCATATTCATTTAATGCAACAAACATTTCTGGGAAACAGGTTTTTCTCTGCTTTAATTGTTACAGCATTTTGGAAAAGAAAACAATGACATATCTAAAATACATGGACAGTTCTACTTCAGTACAAGTTTTCTAGAGAGAGTAGACTACTTCCACCTATTTTATTAGGGGGGTGGGTGGGTTAAAGGGAGAAAACGAAGAAAGCAATTGCGTAAATTCTTATTAAAGTCTATCGCAAAAAAGTATTACATAGCAAACACATTTCATTATAAAGGCTTTTCTAAATTCGAGGGCCAGTAAAAATATATCATAGAGAAGATTTTTTTATTTTCTTTACAAAAGTGAGGTTTGGAACTGTGAGATAAGATAACTCACTGTAAACATCATGAATTCAATCAGATCCCTTGCTTGCAATTTGAAATACCCTTTTCCCTCTTCTAAGTTCTATTTCCAATAGAACTGCAAAATTTTGCATAGATAGTTTGATTTCCTGCCTGATAATGAAACTGAGGTTTTAGCAATCAGCTGTTTCAGAAGTATTTACTTGTTTTAGTACAGGGATGGGGAACCATGGCCCTTTATTACTTGTGGACTTCAACTTCCAGAATTCCTGAGCCAGCCATGCTGGCTCAGGAATTCTGGGTGTTGCAGTCCACAAGTCATAAAAGGACTATGGTTCCCCATTCCTGTTTGGTATATGGCTATATTTTATGTTATCTATTTAATACATATGACAAATCTGGTGCTCTCGCAGTCCATAAATTACTTGATAAATAAAAAGAAAACACTGCAGCTGGCTTTACACAACAAGGTGAAGATGTCTTCCTTACGATTAGCTTCTAGGTTACATTGGACATCTGAAGGCCTAAAAATATAAAGAAGGTAATTTTATCCATTTAAAAATAACCAGGAATTGAACAATTCATTTCTGCCTCCAACTTCAAATGATGCAGCTGCTTATAACCAAAATGGTGAAAGTTTGCCTCAACTCATCATAATCCAAGAAAATACACAATCACTTTCTAATACTGAAGGTCAGAGGTTGATCATCCCTGATTTATAGTAAACTGTAATCTCTGGAGAATTCTGCATTTATGTCCAAGATGCAAAATTAGCACTTTGGAAATCTTTCTAAGGTGAGCTTCAAATTCTGTTTCAGCAGCACTATCAGGGATCCACAAAAACAGTTTCACCTTTTTTTTGTGATGGGTTTTTACACATTGTTAAAATCTGTTTCAGCACTTTCTGGACATCTTCATCCATCTGGCCCTAGAGAGGGGAGGAAAAACAGTAAAGGCAAACAATATTAATAATATTTGAGCAAAGAGCATTAAGCCAAATTCTTAATTATTGTATTATAATATTACAATCATTACTGCACTGTTATAATAAAACAAGTACTCATTTTATATTAGGATCATCATGCTCTAAGGCAGTGTTTCTCAACCTTGGTGACTTTAAGTCCTGTGGACTTCAACTCCCAGAATCCCCCAGCCAGCACAGCTGGCTGGGGGATTCTGGGAGTTG